GCCCCCATAAAGGAAAAACCCCCCAAAAAAAAAAAAAAAAAAAGCAGTTTAATCTATGTAGAATAAAAACGTATACACATAACATTAGGATAAAGGTCGCTACAGCCTTATGAAATAAATAAAAATAGCCATTTTAGCCAGTGTGCACAATAACCATGTGTATCCACAAGGATATTTTATAATAGAATTTTTTTCCCATGTAGGGTGCATCTCTGTTTCTCACTCACCAGAGAGAGACAGAGATGGTGAGAGAGAAAGTGAGAAATAGCCCCCCAGAGGGGATGGCCGCACCGCAACCCTTTCTCCTCCATTCTCTTCCTGGGATCTTGGGCATGCACACACACATACCCAGCATGATTTTCAAGCCACCGGGCCCAGAACTCTAACCACAGTCAGCCATGTGAGAATCTGGCAATGTAGGGACCAGCAGTTAGCATAATGGCTATGTCACTGAACTCCCATGTAGTTGACCGCAGTTCGAGTCCCAGACCTGGTAGCTTAAACTCACGCCTGGAGCGTGTGCGTGTGTGCCCAAGATCCTGAGAGGAGAACGGAGGAGAAGGGATTGCGGTATGGCCATCCCCCCTGGGGGGGGATTTCTCACTTTCTATCTCTTTGTCTTTCTCTGTCTTTCTGGAGAGCACACATGCCCTATAGCAAAAACCTCTCCCCACCCACCCCCCAAAAAAAACTAAACTAACCAAAAAACTGGGGATGGGGGCATTGCACTGCGTTTTCAACCTCTGACTTATTCTGTCAGAACATTATGTACACTACAAGCCAGGAATGACAAATAGGTTTTATCTCTTAGCTAACTCTTATCAGTTGGAGGTGGCTTTTTGCAATACAGAGTTAGGAAGATTCTGAGGACACATCTGGGGGCATTGGGAAAGAGCTGGCTACTTTCTCAGTCACAGAAGAGAAGAGAAAAGCTTTTTTTTCCTCAAAGATACAAGGTAAGAACCAATGAAAGTGCTGGTCGTGAGCGTCAGCTGGTCTACCTGGCTGCCCAGCTTGGCTTGTGTCTACTGTGGAGCCCACACATGGAGGGCTGCTCTGTTCTGAGTCCGCAGGCCGAAGGTACTACAGCTGAGCAGCTTCTGTCCCTAGTGACAGGAAGTTGCTTCAAAAAGAACTGTGGTGAAGATAGCAGGTCAGCATTCCAGGCACACGGACTGATTAATGGCTGCTCTCTGAAGTCCCTGAAACTGTTCTTACTAAACTGTGCTCATATTCATTTCTAATTTAAGAAAGAAGCCATGATTGGGTAAATGTTATTTTTTGACTCAGTGCAAGAACTTTCAGAAGTGTGAAGCGTGAATTCAGGAAGTTCTTTGTGGCGATTTACAGAACAGATAGATACCAAAGGGCTGCCTGATGCGGGTCTGAAGTCTGGACCTCCAGCAGTGACCAGGACCGTGAGCCAAGTAAACCTTCTGTTGTTTTTTTTCTTTTTCTTTTTTTTTTTTTTTTGAGAGGTTTTCACTATAGGGCGCATGTGCTCACCAGACAGACAGAGAGAGACATAGAGACAGAAGGTGAGAAATCACCCCCCAGGGGGGATGGTCACGCCGCAATCCCTTCTCCTCCATTCTCCTCTCGGGATCTTGGGCACGCACACACACGCGCCTGGCATGAGTTTAAGCCACCTGGTTCGGGACTCGAACCGTGGTCGACTACGTGAGTGTCCAGCGACATAGCCATTACGCTAACTGCTGGTTCCCTAAACCTTCTGTTCTTTATGAATTACCCACTCTCAGGCACTTCAGTCTCACATCACAACGGTGGACTAGCACAGAAAAGGCACCAAGGAACTCAATCTACTTCCCTGAATGTCTCTTTGCTAGGACAAGGCCAGGTGTGAATTAATACAAGGGGCCTTCAATACATTTATGGAAAATGTGTATTATGAAAACTTATGCATGGATTTCAAAATTTTTTTCACACTAAAATAACTTTGTACTTTAACCCAATTTTTCCACAAACTTTTAGAATTCCCTTCATATAGTTTGGGAAGAAATGGAGAGAGGAAAAAAGAGTCAGCCTTGGGAAGCCCTTACTATGCGCTGGATTTTTCTTCAACATTGGGGTTCTTCATCTAAAGCATGGATGGCAGGCAGGTACTGCTACCCACGTTTCAGGATGAGAAGGTGAGTCTCAGGCTACGGAGCTGGAAGAGAGGAAGATCCCCCAAGCAGCTGGAGCCTATCTGGACCTGGAGCATCTGCTCCTAGAGGAGGGGTGCACCACCCTCCCACCCCTCCCTGCCCTCTGTAGGTCCTGTGCCAGCTGGAGGAGGGAGGAGCCCAGCAGCCTGAGACCAGTGAGCTCCCTGCAGACACTAGGTGGCGTCAGAGAGGAAGGAGCAGAGGGTGTCTGCCTCCCTGTGTTCAGCTTCCAGCTGAGTCTGCAGAGCAGTGGGGGCCATGGTCCAGTGATCCCTGCAGAGTCCGGAGCTCCTCCCTCAGGTGGGTCACAGGTCTGGTTCTGTTCAGTCCTGATTCTTTCAGTAAGGGCTCCACCTCCCACACCGATGCTGAGAACCTCCCAAAGTGCCTCCACCTAGGGAACGCCCCGGACTGCTTGCCCAGTGATAATTTGAGCCTGTGCAATTGCCATGCCCAGGGCAGGCAGTCCTGCTTCCATGGAATGTGCTCTCCGTGCCCACTGACCCTTGGTCATTCGGGCTTCAGGCTGCTGACTCTCAGCTGGAACTTGAAGGTAAGAACACGCCCTAAAAGAAATGCTGTACTTAACTCATTGATTAATATTTTCTATTTATTTTACTTTGTCACGTGAGTGTCACTGCGTAGAGAGATTAACTCAAGCCAGAGAAAAGCTATCCCGGGGAACTGGCGAAAATACCCTAAGACATTTGTAACCTACAGAGACGAGCCTAACGATGTCTGACCTGGAGACTCAAGGCTCCGAGGAGCAATCTCGAATGTAATCTCCCTGAGATACCGTCCCTCTTTCCCACCCTGATCTTTTCTCCAAACGCCCACTCTTCCTGTTTTCTAAGGGCCACTTCAACTCTCTGGACATGAGCGTTTCTTCTTTCATCCCACCTTTGACCAAGTGACATGCTGGGACCGCAAAGGGGACTGATCTGGTCCCCAGGCTCCAGAGAACATAGAACCTAGGAATTGTAGGGCAGTGGAATAGACTATGAATCGACACATAGAACTCTAGGTTCCCACCATGGACAAGCCCTGGGTGGGCATCTTAGGGCCTCCCTGAGCACTGGCGAGGCTGGAGCAAGTTCCCAGACAAGCACGCAGACCAGGTCGGATTGCTCAGAAAACCAACTTCTGAGACAGGAGAGCTTGCTTAGAAGAAGGCTTTATTGTGGAAGATAACCACCAAGAAAGCAGTAAGGTCCAAGACTCTGGAAGTACCGTCTTCGTAACTGGGGGCACGGGGGTTTTAAACTCTGGTCAGGAATGTGGCAACATGAGGGTCTGGTGGCAGGAACCCAGAGGCTTTCTGGAACAGTGCCTATGGTGCCAGCTCTGGTGGACAATGCTGTTTCCTTGGTGGCGGGCAGTCTCGAGGAGGGTCCAGACTGAGGTGTCATTATCGGATCTGTGCCGGGTAAAGAACTCAAGGCAAATAACTCTTAGGACCCCTGGAGCTCTTCGATCTTTATATGTCACTTGTGACCACATCTTGCAAACATTGAACAGTTCAGGCCACAGTGTGGTCACTGCAGAGCCATCGTCGCGCTGGGAAGAGGATGGCCAGGGGGGAAAGAGCACAAGCTCATTCTACCGTGAAGTAAACTCCCGGGAACTGTAGGGCATACGTCCTTTTCACCTGGTAAATATACTTAAGACTAAACACAGAAAATGTACTTCTTAACTTTGCAGAGGTTGGCATCACGGGTGGGTCAGGGCATGAGGATCTCGTTGGGGGTGTCTCTCTTGCTCTCACTCACAGAGGATATAAATACATAACTTTTAAAGAAGAAGGAAAATACTACAGGACCTCATGGGAATGAAGATCATTTCTGCTCAGGGGTCAGAGATGGCTTCACAAAGGAGTCAAAGGTGACCTGGCCTGAAAGCGCGCCAGCTTCCCGAGGGCGGGGCACAGGGTCATGTGGCCCTGAAGTGAGGGCCTGGGAGAGAAGGGCTCTAATTTCCTTTAGGGACCAGCAGAGCCCTGACTCCCCTGCAGCACCCAGTGCCCCACTCCCTCCTGGCTTGCCGTCCACGTGCCAGGGGAGCTGCAGTGGAGTGGTGGGGCCAGACACTCTCACCTCCCATCCTCAGGGCTGTGAGCTCTGTGGCTCTGCCCCGTCCCACGCCCTGTGTGCCCTGCTCCCGGAGCCTTCCATGTGCCCTGCTCACACACTTACCACTACAGCTGGGCCGTGGGCACCACCTGCTGCCCAGATGCATCCCTGTCAGTGGAGGCAGTGCACTCAGGCTCTCTACTCCAGGCCAGCGCTCTTTTTCTTTTGTCTTTCTTTCTTTTTTAGGTTTTCTCACAGGACCTGAGTGCTCACTAGAGATAGATAGAAAGAGATAGTGAGAGAGAAAGTGAGAAATCACCCCCTGCGGGGATGATCACCCTGCGGTCCCTTCTCTTCCGTCCTCCTCCTGGGATTTTGGACATACAGGTGCATGCACCTGCACATGATTTTCAAGCTGCCAGGTCCAGGACTCGAACTATGGTCAGCCATGTGGGAGTCTAGTGCCTTAACCACCACACCACCTGCTGGCTCCAGTGCTCTACACCCATGTGCTCCCTGCACTGTCCCTCCATATGAACATCTCCCAGGCAGCTCAGACTCAGCCCTTCAATTCAGACTCACAGTCTCTGCACCCACAGTCTGGGCAGGAATTGCCGACCCCTCTGCTCCTGTTCTCAGTGATCAGCACCTCCCTACCCAGGTACCAAGGCGGCAACCACAGAAAAATTTTGACTTCCTCTGGCCTGGCCACCTCTCATCTCAGACTAGTCACCGTGTGCTATTGATTCTACCCCCAAAGTCTCCTAAGTCTACTTCCCTCTGTCTCCAGAAAGCTAGGGCCACCAGCCCTATCTGAACTTCACTCCGACCTTCTTCCTTTGGGCTGGGCTCCACTCCAGCCCTGCCTCAGGCTCCACCAGAGCAATCTTTCCAAAGTGCACCTTGAGTCTGGTGTGGCTTCTCCGACTTAAAGTGCAGTGGGGGCTTCCTGTCGCCCATAGTAGGAATACACAGCTCAGACCTACTGTCCAAGGGTTTGAGAGTCAAATGTCCACTCTTCGCATTGTTCAAGAAACCACAGCTGAGAAACTGGCAAAAGGTGGTCCACATTCCAGTGTCTTCAGGATGCCCGGCCAAAACAAACGCTACTCCTCTCAGGAAAGACATGGCTTCAACTCCGGCTCCACAGGATTCCCAGTTGAGCTCACCTTCCCTCATCAGAAAAGTCACAAAGGAACGACCCACCATGAGAGAGAGTCTGCAGAAAGAACAAACAGCAGAGTTAGAGCTCAAGACCTTCATATAATTAAATTACCAGATATAGAAATATGAGAAGAATGTTTAAGTTATATAAAGCAATGAAATTGAATGAGAAATAAGAGAATAAGATACTACTTTGGAAACAGAATTATTAAATAAACGGGATTTCTATGAAGAAAAAATATACAGCCATTGAAATTTAAAAACTCAAGAATAGGCTAAAGTATATCATAGATACAGCTGAATAGATAATTCAATCTTTTTTTTAAATAGTGGATTAGAGGAGAGTTGGCATCAAGTTGGAGTAGAAAAGATAATAAAACCAAGTTTTTAAAGTTTAAGAATTTAGGTGAATTTTCGAAAACAATCAACATTTTAAAAAATGTTCTTCTTTGGTGCTTAGCAGGTTGGCAAATTGTAGAAGAGGAGATGAGTATTAGGATTTGAAGATCATGAATTTTGAAGGCTCATTTGTTTAAATAAATAAATGTGCTAGTCTAATTTCCTTTAAAGTCATTGCTTCCAAACAGGAGGCTCCGACAGCTCCAATAGACCAGACCCTGAATGTTAAATTGAGCCTCCCAGCTCTGAACTGCATGAAGCACTGAACAGCTGAGACCACTCTCCTGGCTCAGGGAGAGTCCCACAGAGGCTCAGAGACTTTGAACCTTGGCTGCCTGGATTTAAATCCCCAACGGTGGGTGTGACTCCGGGTATATTAGTGAAGCTTGCCAGGTTTTAGATCCCTTGCTTGTGAAATGAAGGAAATGATAGCACCTATTTGGCAAGACCATGCTAAGGATTTTTAAATTATAGTAAAACATTTAGAAATTGGTCTCAATATTTATTAGATTCCAATGAGTGTTAGCTGTTTATACTTCATATGGGGGTTCACAGGTTCTTTGCATAGTAAGTACTATAAGTGAGTAAATATTAACATATTAAGCCTCACAAATATAATTTTAAAATATTTAAATGCAGTTTAATCTGTAAGCAAAATAAAAGTATATGCAAAATAACATTAGAATATAAGTAGACATAACCTTATGAAATAAACAAACAACAAATAGGCATCGTAGTAATTTGCAAGGTAATCCTGTGTGTCTGCAAGGACATTTTGTGATAATAGAATTTCTGAGGCACCCAGACAACTAATTAAAGCGAGCGTAACCAAATAAAAGTGACTAGCTTGCACTTATACCAATAAATGGCAAAACGAAATTTTAAACCAACCAAAAAAGGGTTCCATTGCATTTTTAACCTCTCACTGTGAGTCTATCAGAACATGATGTGCACTCTAAGTCAGAGATGGCGAGCAGGTTTGCTCTTTCAGTCAACTCTCATCCATTGGAAATGGCTTTCTGGGAAACTATGAAGAATGATGCTGAGGACACGTCCGGGGTCGCTGGGAAGGAGTCCCATGATCACGTATTGATGGAAATGACATATACAGGAGGGAGAGGGTCTGCTCATGCCATGCAATTGCTACTCCTTGCAATTCTGAAATGATCTGCTGGTGCCAGGCAACAGGCAGCCAGAGGACAGAACAGTTTGGAACCCAGGGCCAGGCCGAGCTGTCAGGAAGGGTGGGTGGAGTTCATGACAGGGCTGTCACTGGTTGCTTCCTCCAGTCGTGCAGCACTGAGGTGTAAGTGACCCCTGAACTGCCTTAAGCAGGTGCTATATCAAGGGGCGGGAGGGACAGGATTAAAGCAGGGCGGACCGGCTCCATGGGCCCCACTCTGTGCGGCACAGGCCAGCTGCAGAACTTGTGAACCGCCTGGAGGAAGAGCCTAAGAAAGCGCAGCTGTGGAGTCCCAGCCACAAGTCCTCTTACTGCTTTATGGAGAGCGGGCAGCAAGGTCAGTGGGAAGGGAAGAGACTTGGTCACTTTCTCCAGCTCAAAAGAGAAAGGCATTTTAAGCTATGAAGGAGAAAAAACACATCTTTCTGGGGTTAGCAGGTGGCCTACTGGACTCCCACATGGCCAACCGCGGTTCAATCCTGGAT